TATAGAGTTGAGCTTTATACCTCAGTTTCTCAATTTCCACCTTCGAAGCTCCAGTTGAAACTTTGATCAGAATGATAGTTACCTCCTAGATTTGTTTGTGACAAGCACACACCTTTATTGCCTTCTGTGAACGCATGCAGCAGAAAAGAATCTGAGAGGCTGAAAAGTGATGGGCAAATGATTCAGGCTAAAGGATCTCAGAGATCTTCCATTTTCAAAGGATGTATTGTGCAAGTTGTCAGCAAGTCAACAGCTCCTAGCCCAGACACAGGGATGGGCGCCCAGGCGACGGGAGCACAAACCGCATTTTCCTATCGCCATCTAAGGATTACAGGCTCATCCCACTGATAAGACAAACATGCTGATGAGTTCTTGAACCTAAACATCTGAAAGCATTAAATGCTGATGTGGACACTATCTAGAGAACAAAGGAAAAGATTGCTGCTATCTGCTTTTCTATCTAAACTCTTCCTGTAAGTGAGCATTGCCTATCTTACTGTAATTTTCAGGAAAAAAAATCATTGCAAGCAAGATATATTTTCTTACATTTTACACATCAGAGCCCTTCATGCCCAGTTGTCTCCCAAGACAGAGAACGTGATGCAGAGTAAGCTGCACTCAGACTCATAGGCACACGCCCGCGCTCATAGAGAAATGCCCCACACTGTGGTGTGACATTCAGGTCCTCATGAGCTACAAACATGGGAAGGACAGGGACCACTACAGAGCTCTGGACTTCATTCTCTAGCCATTCTAGAATCCTGGGATCTCTGGTTAATAAGGAAGCCCACATGAAATAAAACACAGAAACTGTTAAAAATAAAATACCTGGATTTGGCACTTGGCAAAACATCACCAGCCTGATTGCTGGAATGTGGGAAGATGAGTTAGGTGGCATCAACAGAGACAAGGTCTTCACACAGGTGGCTCTAGGCTGTGAGATTGATGGCAAGGTTTGGGGTCACAGGCAGTCTCAGCCTCACCACTGTGATGCTGCCATAGCTTGAGGCCTTGGAAAGGGTTCTTTTTCTCCTAGAAGTCTGCAGACCTGTTGTTCTGTTCTGCCATGAATTACTATGTGAGCTCTTACAAGTAGCTAGACCACTCTGGGCCTTGGCTTCTTATCTGTAAGATGAAGAGATTTAAAGTAAACCAGGGCATCTAAACTTAGAGTTTGTGTGTATACAAGGAGGGACTTTGGGGGAATTTTTAAACCTACTGAAACCATTTTTTAAAATTGTGTCTGTGTGCGTTTTTTTCTGTGAAATGAATGAGACCCCCCTCAAAATTAAAGACATGACCTTTCCCCTTTATAATTCTCCAGACACAGAACCAGCCTAACCATTGTGCTCCACACAACCTTCTTCCCTTTCCTACCTTCCTACTGCAAGCAGAGCCCCTCGTACCTGAAGGCAGGAAGCTGGTCCTTTCCTACCCTGTCCTATCCCCAGTGGAGGACTGGGTGCATAGAAAGCCCCAGAGCCAGCACTTCCAGGACTAAACTCAAAGGAGGGGCGTCTACAGGGCCATACTTTTCAAAGTTATCTTCAATTCCATGAGCAATTGAGTGAGCACCTCAGGGTGCAGCATCTTGGGTCAGGGAGGTGAGAAATTTGAAGCCACTCCCCTGGCCATGAGGGCTCCCTATCTTAGTGGGGGCTGGGGACACACAGGCTGGCAGTGGGAACTGCCGTACTTTGAGACCCATCCCCGATGCAATAAGCAAAGTCCCAACTGGCCATGAAATTGGCCCCAGTGAAGCTGGATTGTTTCCTCTCATTTCTCTTTCTAAAAAAAAAAATCAGTAAATGGGTTTTGATACAGTTAAGAGGGATTTCTATTTCTTGATCTTATTATGGCGTAGATGTTTTCAGCATCTGACTTGAAGGCCAGTGAGAAATGTGTGTCTGGATATTTGTACCTCAGAGAGCAGATTTGAAGGAAAATGTTCATGAATTCTGGACAAGGAACTCTCATCTCCTCCACCCATCCTACCCCCTGCAGAAGTTGGGATCAGCATAGGGCCACCTGTCCCTCGGCAAGAATTAAGAAAAGGACCAACCCAAAGCTTTTCTATCATCTTGACAGAGCAGATTTCCAGCATTCCACTCCTTGCTCTGCTATTTCTCAAGCAAATTGTTTCACTGCTTTCTACCTCAGTTTCCCTATCTGTGAAGTGGAACTTCATTTCTTCCCAAATTGCTCTGAGGGTCAAGCAGAACAGTATCTGAAACAATCCGGAGATGCTTACCGTTGCTATGGATGATGATGATGATTCCTTAGGCCCACTGTGGGAAGGAAGGTTGCCGCTGGGACCTATGATGGTGAGAAAGTGGGCTGCATCTTGTGTCCTTCCTTGGATTCATGTCATATTGGCACAGCTGCAAACTCACAGTGAAACTGCATTCTACTATTTACAAAATGCTCCCAAAACTCAGGAGATATTGAGGTAGAAAGCTGCAGTTTTTTTGTTGTTGCTACAAACCCTTAAAATTCCACCCCCACTGGCTATGATACCTCCAAATGGGGGTTCATTGCACAAGAAACATCACCCACTGAATGGGAAGGAGCCACTTCCCATCTGGGACTCTCTGCTTTTACACACCAGTTTTTATACAATTCATACATACGGGTGTTACATATACTTGAACTTCACCAGCGTTCTACCTGGATTGTGCATTGTTGGTGACACATTTCTGAGATTGGAGTGCAGCTCTTCATGTATCATTCAGTCAATACATCTGATTCTGTTCTTTACTCTCTATTTTCTAACCTTGATCATTTCTTGTTTCTGTTTGGTGTGTCACCTCCTCTTTGATCTTTCTATCTCTTGTCTTTCCCCTCCAGCCTATCCAAACTCATTACTAGTGTCATCATCCTCTCACACAACCCCGTCCTTCCTGACTCAGTCTTCCCATCGGCTACCTGGGTCATTTTTCCCTGGACCCCACTTCACTCTGCTTTTAAGCCTGTATGATGTGAGTCCCACGTGGGTTACCTTCCCAGCTTGTATGCTCCTGGGTAGGAGGAATGCAGGTAGGAAGAGAACCATCTCTGAGCCCTGATTTGTGGGAAGGTAATTGAGAATGAGACCATCTTAGCTACATGGGCCATTGTCCATGTATCTTATGTGCATCTGAGACTCCCTCCATAGCTTTTGCCACCAGGTTGGTGGCAACCTTCGTCAGGGTCTGCATCCTGGCCCCTCTCATCCCCTCTGTCCTTTCCTGCCATCTCCTTTTTCTAGAGCATACCTAGTGGTTGGTTTAGTGTGACACTGAAAGTTAGTCAACAGACTGGAGCCCATTCAGTCCTCCTGTCTTGTGTGCAACCCCACAGGCCGAGACAACAGCATTAGTTAATCATGACATGGCAGATCATGGCGCTGCCCTGGGGAGGGTATTCAGTTCTCTGGTTTAAAGACAAATTTTGTTTTTTTGAGTTAGATTCTCACTCCATCGCCCAGACTGGAGTGCAGTGGCCACTCCTGGCCACCGCAGCCTCGACCTGCTATGCTCAGGCGATCCTTCTACCTCAGCCTTCCAAGTAGCTGGAACTACAGGCACGCGCTACCACACCCGGCTAATATTTTTGATTTATTATAGAGATGAGTTCTCACCAAGTTGCCCAGGTGGGTCTCGAACCCGCGGGCTCAGGCAATCCACTCACCTCAGCCTTTCAAAGGTGCGGGATTACAGGTTGAGCCACCGAGCCCGGCTAAAGACAAATTATATCCAACCTGGAAAAAAAAATCAATAGTAATGGATTGCAACATGATCTATATGGTTTCCCTGGAAACATTAGGAACACAGTGGCACGCTCACGGCCACCCCAGCATCAACCTGCTGGGCTCAGGAGGGCCTTCCACTTCAGCTTCCAAGTAACCAGAACTATAGGTGAGACCTACCATGCCCAGCTATTTTTTTTTTAATTTATTATAGAGATGAAGTCTCGCCAAGTTGCCCAGGCTGTTTTCAAACTCGTGGGTTCAGGCAATCCCCTCACCTCGGCCTCTCAAAGTGCTGGGATTACTATATATATATATATATATATATAAATTCCCAGACCCATGATGAATTTTTTTTCCTTGAATAACATCCGTATCTTGTAAATAGAATTTTATAAACATTTGTGGGATAGAAAAATTATCTTTTCAAATTGCCACACTCTTGGTTGATGCATCTCCTCTGTTGAGGAATACCAAGACTTTTCTCCTTTAGTTATAGCACATCTTGTGGAACTTTCAACTTCATCTTGCTCTTTGTCATGAGAATTCATGTTTCCCAGTTGCCCTCCAAGCGGCTGAGGACAGCCTTATATGGCGGAGGTTGACTGAAGTGCTGGGAAAATGTCCCCTAAGTAAAAATACCCCTCTCCTGATGCCACTTTGAGAAATGCCACCGCTGGTTCAGAGATTTAAACCCTTTTCCCTCCCCTTCTTTATAAGCCAGGGACAGGCCACTAAAGCAGACGGCTTTCTTGACCCTATAAGCCATCCTGTCTGGGGGAGAAACTTGTTGGCACCACAGCCCTCAGCATCTAGAAGCCAGAATTAGAGTCTGTGATTGACACGACAATCAGTCTTTAGTTCTTCCACCAAATGCCTGAGGCGCAGCCAACTCAAATCAGGGTGTTTCCTGATTTTGATGCCGTGATTATTGGCTCCATAGTGGAGCATAGGAAAGGGACAAGGTCAAGTGAGGAGAAGTCAGAGGAAGAGTCCACAGAAGTGGACATATGACGCCCAGGCAGCCCACCAGTCACCACTGAGCTGTGGATGGTGCCCTGCACTGGGGATCATGACATTCCCTGCCCTGAAGGACATCTCCCCTGGTTAGAAAGAATACTGATGGGAGAGCAGGAGGGATGCCAGACCAGAGAGGCAGGAAGCTGAGGACCATGCCGTGGGTGTGTTGGTCCCGCCTCCAGTCATTCCCACCTCTCGGGGTGACCGTGAGGCGCTGTCCCTCATTCTTGCTGGCTCCTTGACTCAGCGTCACCGTGCTGGAGGCCGTGGTGTGCTTCTTCTCTGTCTGGTCTATCGTTGGCCTCTCAGGTTTCCACACGTACTTGATCAGCTCCAACCAGACTACGAATGAAGATGTAAGTTTCTGTCTGGGGCATGGGCGTGTTCTTTGGTGTTAAAAAAGAAAGACGAGGTTGGAAGTCACCTTCTCCCATGCACCCTGTTTTAGATGTGAGCTGGGAACAGAGGATGTGCAGTGTCAGTGTTTCCATATGCCTCTCCGCATATCTCTCTACTGGGAATCCACCTTCTCTTCTTTTTTTGTCCATGCCTGCTAGCTGCTCAGATTAGCCAAGTGACGCCCATGTCTGGCACTGAGGAGAAGGTTCTTTATTTTCCTTTTACATTGTTTTGTAAGCAACTTGTCACACGTTCTCTAAGAAAGAGAGGCCCATGGCAGGCTGACATCTTGGAGGGAACAGATGAATCTACCTTTCGTATTTAATGTCTCTGTTTAGTTTCTGGAGAAAATTGTCCTGACCCAAAGTTTAACTTTTTATACAGGATTATCTGCCTATACTTAATGCAGATGGAGAAAAGGTATAAAAACAGGAAACATAATGTTAGTAGATGTTTCCTGATAAACATGGTCCTCTTTGCTCTTAATAGATTTTGACAGTAGTCTCTGCCCTTACATGAAGTAAATGTCTCTGAATAGGTCGAGTTACCTTAAGCAAAAGCTTCACAAAATAGGTGAGCTAAGAGGGTATCGATGCAGTTATTTGTTTTTGTTGACTATGAATATTAGAATCTGCAGAACAGACTGGTTTGGCAACACTGTGAGACTGAATTCTTTCAGTCTGTAAATTAGCAAGTAGAGGACCCACATGAACTTTTCTGCTACCATTTATTTAATGACTATTTAGGGCACTAAATGTGAATATGAAAAAATCTCCACTGGCTTACGTGAGATGGCCTTTTGGTACCATGCGGTTCAAACGGAAGACCCTTGTCCCCAGAGAATGTGACTCCTTCCCTAATCTTACCTGTTGTTTGGGGACATTTCCAAGTTTAGGGTACATGCCCGTGTTCCTTGAGAGAAGTGCCTCAGTTTCTTGTAGGGAAGAGAAGTAAAGACAATCTGTATTCCTGATGGGCTTCCCATAGGCCAACTCGCCTACACCATGGCTTTGACATGAAGGATATTGTATGTTATAAACTTTCCTTGTCTTTCAGATTAAAGGCTCTTGGTCAAATAAAAGAGGTAAAGAAAATTACAATCCCTACAGCTACGGAAATATCTTTACAAATTGCTGTGTCGCCCTGTGTGGGCCCATCTCTCCAAGGTAAGACTCAGCAAGCATCAAGTGCTTTAGCAAACCTCGGGGAAGCACACCCCTTAGCTGTGTTGGCGCAGGCCTCACCAGGTACCAGGTGGAACTGGTCGTCACCGCCAATGACCACTGTGTGCCACATGGATGTCGCCTTCATGGAAGAGAGATCTGACTCCATCTATTGTGCCCCATTGTACACCTTTTTTGGTCTTCGACTGAATTTATTCAGATTTGGGGGAAATCCCTGAGAACTCTAAGCAGGGAAACTGTGACATGTGACCCTGTTAATTATGAATGACTCTGAGTAGTTGGGGTGAGCAGGGAGCTGTGGCTAGCATAGCAAGAGGGCCAGGACACACACGTGGGAAGGAAGCAGTCAGAAAACCTGCAGAAAGAAGTGCTGAATGCTGATCTACACAGAATATAAATGCCAACGTCGTTCACAGGGAGAGGTCTGTGTGGCCTGAAGTCGTTGGGATTCTGGTAATAATAGTAACGATAACATTCATAACAGCAATAGCTGGCCTTTGGTGAACTAGGTCAGGCTCTGCTCTAAGTATACTTTACCTGTTTTAGCTTTTATGAAGCTTACTCTGTAGCTATGAAGTAAGTACTGCTATATCCCATTTTATGGATGAGGAAACTGAGGCACAGAGTTTAAATACTGTGCCCAAGATCACACAGTCAGTAAACACTGACTAGTCAGACTCAAACCCAGGTCAGGCCCTCCGACATCAGAACGAGTGTGTGCCCATGGGTGCATGCCACCTCTAGCTCAAAATGTACAAGTTCAAAATATGGTTGGCTTCTGATTATTTGTGAGTTACACCCATGGAGGATATTTCTGACAGATTAACCAAACCATCAGCAGCAAATATATATATATATATATATATATTTATATATAGCAGGTATATGGGGGGGGTCTCTGGAATGAGTTTCCAGGTTATAACTTCACCCTCCCTTCTGGTGTCTAAATGTGTGAAACAGAGAAACCACGGAAACCACTGAGACCAAATCCAGGCCAGTCCCACTGTGCGCCCAGGCCTTACCCATGCTTGCTGGTAGAATGCAAACTTTTTTTAATGTCAGCCTCAGTGAACCCTCACTGGGAGGTAGAAGCCATGCAAAACAAAACCAGCCCATATCTGCATTCCAAGGCCATTGTGCAATTCTTTTTTTCTTTTTTCAGAAAGCAGGATTTATTGAGAGGACAGTAAAGCTCCCACGGTGGGAGGGGATCCGAAGGGGTCGCCCCCAGCCAGGCAGTTCTTGCCTTGATTCATCCATGGTGCTAGTACTTCACTAGAAAGCAGTCATTTTCCATGAGAGATGGGGGCCCAGCAGGCCGCTCTCCTTCTGAACTGGGGGGCCCCAGGTGACCCTGACCTCCTCAAGGGCTTCTTCTGAAGAGGGGCTGGTAGGAAGGGCCAGGCAGGAGTCCTGGGGCGGAGAGGCTGCTTGGGCCAGGGAGTCAGACATACCAGCCCTGCATGAAGAGAGCTGGCTCACCCAGAGATCCTTCCTGGGGCTCTGTAGGTCAGAAAGTCTCTCAGGACATGCTTGACTTCTCACAGTGTAGGCAGTGTCCCCAGGAGTGTTTGTGGCTAGTGGGGGCAGGCCAGGAGATGGACTGGGGGCTGGAAGAAGGACAGCTGAGCTTCTTCCCATACCTACAGTGTCTGTTTGTACCTAGGAAAGGAATTCAAAAGTCTCACATTCTGCCCAGATCTCATTCCCATACCCTCCTCTGCGTAGGGAACGACTTTCTGTTGTTCACGGCCCACATCTTGCCACAACTGAAGTCATTTCTTCCACAGCTGGATTAAGTATGCTGTTTTGGCTGGTTCGGGCTGTGTTCTTTCCAAAATCCACCCTCATTCCTTTGGGTGGGGCATTTCTTGAGCCTGACCCTCTTCTTGAAACTGCTCGAATTGCTTATGAAGAGGTAAACTGAGGCACGTTAACACAGGAAAGACTTTCTTTACAGCGATTCATGAACCTGGCGTCTCCAGACCCCAAGCAGTCTGGGCTCCACCGAAGGGGCTCCTGGAGAGCCTTTTACAGGGAGAACGTGGGACAAGGCAAGGAGGAGATTGACTTGGCTCAAATGGGGCCTGTAGCTTGACTTGGCTAGTTCCAGGGAAGTCCCGGCTGGAGCTTAATGGGCGGACTCTGACAGGTTACGCCTGTCTACACTGAGTTGGGTCATTTGATGACCCAGAGTGCTGGAGCTGCCTTAACCTAGTGTCCTTCCGGTTAATTACTCTAACACGTTTAAGGGTGGAGGCAGGGAAATGGGCAGCTCCCCTCGCACCTGCTCCCAGGGCTGCCCAGGGCGGACATGGGGGGCTGCTGCTCACCTTTGCTCCACCCTCCTGTCACCCTCTTGCCTTCTCCTCGCTCTGCACCACCTCATCCCGGCCCCTGTGCCCTTAAGTGGGCCAGGACCTTCCTGGGATCCCAGCCAGGCCGCTGGTGAGCAGGGCTCCCAGCAGTCCGTGTAAACGAGAGAGCGTGTCCTCAAGTTCCCCATCAGGAGCCTACATACCACGAATGCGAAGACCTCCGTTCAGTTCCCCACACGGCATCACCACAGGTGTGAGTGGCAGCTGGCTGAGAATGGCCAGGTTTGGGGGAACAGAGTCCTCTTACAGACCTGGCAGGAGGAATGGAAAACTGGCAAAGTCCCAAGGAGAGGTCAGTGTCAGGCAAGCTTGGGCTGGTTCCACAGGTCGCTTGGCCACTATTTGGGGGCAGGCTCTGCACAAAGGGCTGGGATGCAGTAAGGGCCAGTCTCATGGGAGCCATGGATGGTCCCTAGACAAGTGATGCTCTGGACAAGTGGGGTACACGGGGGACACCCAGAGGGGTCTGACTTGTGATGTGTCCTAAAAGGTGACAGGAATTGGGGGGAGGAGCAGAGTCTTGACAGACAGAGGGACAGCACATGCAAGGGCCTGGTGGTGATGGGACCTGGCTTGTCAGAGGAGGTGTTGAGGAGGTAAGTGTCAGGAGTGGGGAGCAGCAGCAGGAGGCAAGACAAGATGAGGGGCAAGGCCAGATAAGGAGGGGCTCGCAAGCCGTGGTGAGGACCAGAAGGAGACTCAACAGAGCCACGTAAGCTCATGTCCCAGTGTCACAGTCCTGGGAGCACGGCCACTCCATCAGACAGGCTGAATACCTTTGGATGCCGGCCGGGAACAGTGTTATTTTTTCTCCCTGCTGTCCCTTCAGACTCTCTTGATGACCTAGTTCTTTCTCTGCTTCTGGATGAAATCCCCTGTGAGTCCCTTAATTTCTCTTGTCACTTAAAAAAAAAGGACTCAGGGCACATTCAGCTAATCAGAACTGCCAGGCTTGCTGAAGGTTTTAAGTCTTCCCTCCCTATCACGGCCCTGGCTGAGAGGCTCACAGAGGTCCCTGCTCTCCTTGAGTTCTGCCCCCCATCCCACCCCAGCCAGCCTTGCTTTCCCAGCTCCCTGACCAACAGCAGGAGGGGATTTGGACAGAGAGTAGGTACTGCTGGGTCTCCGACCAATGCTTTCTAACCTGGTGGGCTTTGAGGCTGGCTTGTCCTCTCCTGAGAGTTTCCTCTGAGAACCTCCCATCACAACTCCCCTGAGACAGGTAGGGCATTTTGGTCACTCACACCTGCCATTCCAGCCCTGGGCCTGTCCCCATCCGCCTTGCACAGACCTCTCTGGGAGCTTCCTCTAGGGCTCTCTTGGGCTAAGTCCTATAGTGGTTTCTTTGGGCACTGTCACAAAGTGCCATGGAGTGGGGGGCTTAAACAACAGAAAGTTATTCTCTCATAGATCAGTGACTAGAATTCTGAAGTCAAGGTGTCGGTGGAGCCAGACTCCCTCTGGGGAGAAGCGTCCTGGTCTCTCCCCAGCTTCTAGTGGGGCCATCAGTCAATCCTTGGTGTTCCTTGGTTGGTAGACATGTCACTGCAATGCCAGCCTCTGTCGGCCCATGATGTTCTCCCTGCGTTTCTCTGCCCTATGTGGCAGTTTCTTCCCTGCACCTTTGTTCTCTCTTCTCCTAAGGATACCGGTCACATTGGACAAAGGCCTATCCCAATTGAGTATGAACTCATCTTAACTTGGTTACTGCTGTGAAGACCCTATTTCCAAATAAGGTCACCCTCATAAGTGCCGGGTTAGGGTTTCAGCACATCTTTTTTTATTTTTACTTTTTTGAGTCAGAGTCTCACTCTAGGCTCACCTGCTGGGCTTTGGCGATCCTTCCTCCTCAGCCTTCCAAGTAGCTGGAACTACAGGCGCACACTACCATGCCCGGCTAATTATTTGATTTACTGTAGAGATGAGGTCTCGCCAAGTTGCCCCAGGTGGGTCTTGAATCCGCGGGCTCAGGCAGTCCACTCACCTTGGCCCCCCAAAGCACGGGATTACAGGCTGAGCCACCAAGCCCGGCTTCAGCACATCTTTCTGCACAGTTCAACATATGACCTTCCCCCAGCCAGCCCCCACGTGACCCTTTCTCCCGAGGGACCCCCATCTGGACCCCCTCACCCAGCCCCCCATCCCAGCCCTGCCCCAGTTCTAATCCTGGCGTAGAGCGCAGAGTACCCTCTCCAAGACAGTCTTCTCTGCTCTTTCCCTGTTGACCGTTTGCACCCTTGAAGGGGGGGCTGCAAAGCTGGTTTGAGAACTCCCTTTGGCGTCCTGCATGGGCATCCAGCACTTTCCTTTGAAAAGTGGAGGTTCAGCCGGGCTCTGTGGCTCAGCCTGGCCGAGGTGAGTGGATCGCCTGAGGCTGCAGGTTCGACAGGAGCCCGGGCAGCTTGGCAAGACCTGGTCTCTACAATAAATCAAAAATTTGCTGGGCATGGTAGCGTGCGCCTGTAGTTCCGGTGACTTGGAAGGCTGAGGTGGAAGGATCGCAGGAACCCAGCAGTTCGACACGGGGGTGGCTGTGAGCATGCCACTGCATTCCAGTCTGGGCAATGGAGACTCCAACTCAGAAAGGAAAAAAAAAAGAAAAAAAAAAGTGGAAGTTCTTGTTGCCTGTTGTTCTTTTTCCTAAACCTTTGTGGATTCCGCTGGAACTCCGGCAGAGCAAGTCCCATCTTAAATTCCCATCCCAGGTTTTTTTTTGGTTCATTTTTCTGTCACTGCAGACCTGAAGACTGTGGCTGTGAAGTTAACGCTTATCTTCTGAAATCTTATGAAAGCTGACTGACAAGTAGGAGGCTCTGCTTTTAGACAAAGGCAGCCTTGAGCAGCCCAGGTGCTCAGCCCTCCAGGCGGGGGACATATGTGGCCCAGGGTGGAGGGAAGGCAGAAGGCCTTGCCTTTTTGCATTTTTCAGAAGCTCCTGAGGCCATCAAGGTAGATTCCACCCTGGGAGTGTGGCTCGTCCACACAGTGGAGGCCATGCCAGGAGTGCCTGTTTATTAGCTGAACCTCCTGTTACATCCACATTTCTGCCCTTTGACTCAAGGCCTTCAGCCTGAGCCTTCACTGGGGAAGAAAGGCACTTCCTTTGATGGCCAGGGGAAACCTCATCCATCACCTTCTGACAACCTACAGTACCGTAGAGCCCAGAAACTTGTCTCTGGGAGACAAAGGACCCATTTCTATTTATTCCTTCAACAAGCATTTGCTGAGCACCTATTGGGTATCAGTCTTGGAGACACAGTCTTTGTCCCCCAAACTCTAGGACAGATGTAAGCCAGGGGCCTCTGATCCCTGTCTCAGTGGGCCAGGCACGGGGCCAGGTGCCCCAGGGAACAAGATGAAGACTCTGTCCTTGGGAGCTTACAGGCTGCTGGACAGAGAAGATGCCTGTGTAAACTCACTGTGACCCGGGAAAAAGTAATGTAGTGATGTGAGCCAGTAGGCGGGTCCTGTGCAAGCCTGAGAGACTCAGAAGGGAGGAAGGGGGAGGGATACAGGGACAAAGCAGGGGTCAGGATGCCTTTGACCCTGGCCTTGAAGAATGGACAATGGAGGGGAAGGAAACGTGACTTTGGGTGAGGAAGAAACAACGGTTGAACAAAAAATATGGAGATGCCAAAGCAGTATACACGTGGGGTGGGGCCATGGCCTTGCTCTCACACAGTACGCTGGCACACGCAGGTATTTGGAACATGCTTGTTGAACGAATGTAGTAAGAAGATGTGGATTTAAAAGCTGGAGAGGAAAGTGTGGGACCGATTTGACAGGTGGAGGTAAGGCCAGTTCAGAGGCTCCCACAGTCAGCAGACAAGGAGGGAGATGCCAGGGTCTGAGTGGGCCACAAGCACTTGGACTGGCCAGGAGGCAAGTGATGCCACAGGCACGTTTGAGGGTGGAAGAAGCCGAATTTAGTAACTGATGAGTCATGCCAGTGAGCAGACCCCTCAGGTGTCTAGGGTGGGGCCTGCACAGAAAGAGGGGCCCAGACACGGAAACCTAGATAGTGTGGATGCGTCTTAGGCTTTTTGTTCACTTTCTTCCTCCTGTGTGTTCTTCTCTCTCACAGTCTAATTGACAGAAGAGGGTACATCCAACCCGACACCCCGCAGCCAGCACCACCCTCCAACGGCATCACCATGTACGGGGCCACACAGTCGCAGAGTGACATGGTAGGAGCCACCTTCCAGGGCCACCGCTTACCACCAGGGCTTCCTTCTGTTCGCATAGTCACTAACTGGTCTCCAGGCAGCCCACCTGGCTCACCTCCTCAGAAGGGAGGACATTCCATGTTCTCCATCCATGTGGCTAACGGACTCAGACAGGAAGTGAGATGTTAAACTCAGGCAGTCCCTAAGAAGGTCTGCCCCACTGAGTTTGGTCTGCTTGTTTGGAGTTGTGCAGGGAGGTACACACATAGGATCCCTGCTGAAACAGTTTGAGGGGTGTGAATGGAAAGCCCCCAGCACAGAATTGGGGCACCGTTGGAAGGAGGAGACACAGCTGTCCCAAGCAGGGCTGGCTTTCTTGAAATCCCCCAATTTTCTGTCTGTCCCTGTATCCCAACCTATACTGACCCCTCCCCCACTTCCTTAAGTGTGCAGCAGATGGCACTGCCAGTTCTCCCTACCTTCAGCCAAAATCTTACGTCAGCTGTGCACACCTCAGTGTGAATGATCAGACCAGGTGTCCGTTCATTCACAGCAAAACTGACTGAGCACCTCTCCAAAGCGGTGCACATGTTACACTGACGTGGGAGGCTGAGCATGTTTTCTTTCCAGTTTGCAGGTGGGAGACGTGGGGAACAGGGCAGGAGTCTCTCACGGGTATCTGGAATCACAGCCCAGTCTGGCCCTGGCCATCAGTGACTTAAAATTCCTTAGGCATCTGGTAGGTAGTGGCCTCTCTTTCCCTAAAGAAATGCCATGTTCCTGCAGAGGACCCCATCTGGGGGTCCTCCTGTGCTGATGCCCTTCGTATAGCCAATTGCCCAGAGCTCAGGTGACAGATTAAGGACTTGACTTTTGAGTAAACTGGTGGTGGGCAACAGCCTGGGAACCTTGTTTCTACATTTGAAGAACTGTAGGGTGGGCAGGAGTCCGCAGCCTCAGGACTATCTTGAATTCATCTGATTCCACAGTGGCCCTCATGACCATGTACACAGCCATGGGAATTAGGTTCGGGCCCCGCAGAAGGTAGCTGAGGTTGGTTCAGTGGTGGTGGTGGCGTCTTGTCTGTGTTGCTTTCCTCTGATTTGCTAAGGAAGAGTCTCCTTTACAAGCAAGTGTGTTTGTGTCACATCCTTGCTTTCCCACTCCTAAGGAATCAGCTTGTTCTGTCCATACTCACCCACTCAAGTGATCCTGAAGGGTCACCCTCATAATTTTCAGAGGAGGCAACTGAGGACAGAGAGAGGAAGAGGGAGTTTCGTGGGAGAGGGGATTGCATGGACTGCGCACCGACTGTGTCCAAGGCGTTTGATGGTCAGCATCTCATCAGACCCTAAATTAATAGTGAAAAGGGAGTATGCTTGTTCCCCTCCCTTCATATGTAGGTGAGATTGAGACTTTGAGCACCTACCCAAGGGCACACAGACACTAATTTGTGGACCCAAACTAGTCCAATGACTAATGCCCATGTTCACTTTGCATACTCCACTCCTTCACTCCTAAAGGCAAGGATGTCCATGCTCAGAAGGCTTTCCTGACTGTTTGCAGGAGCCAGAAAATGTCCTGTAAGGACAGAGTTACCAGAATTCCAACCATGGTATACGCTAGCCATTTCTCTGATGTGTGTGTGTGTTTGCACAATGTGCATAACCTCTTCTCGTTCATTCTGCGACTCTATTGGAGTTCCCACTGTGTATTGAGGACTAGACTTGGTGCTGGGATACGGGTTTAGGGGGGGACAGTCCACACCCCCTCAAGGAGCCAACAGTCAGGGGACAGCATGTGAGCAGACACATGAAGGGAGCAATGAGTACCTTCGTTGGAAGAGACCACTGATGGCAACTGTCCCTGTTCTTATCTAAATGCACTTGTGTTAGTCTTACCCTGTAACTTCCACAATACTGATCTCAACAAGATCCACACGGCCCTCAATCCCCCAAGCTCCATGTAGTGCTGGCCTCACCATATTCTACTCAGTGCTGCTGTCACCAAGCTTTATATGGTGCTAATCTCACCAAACTCTATGTAGTACTGATCTCACCAAGGTCAACACAATCCTCATCTCCTAAGCTTACGTAGTGCTGGTCTCACCAAACTCTACATGGGGCTGATCTCACCATGTTCTACTTGGTGCTGGACTCACCAATCTCTACTGGGTGCTGGTCTCACCAAGCTCTACACTTTTTCCAGATTTAGAAAATCAACAAAGGCTATCTTAAAGACGCTGTCACCAGGAAGCCACTTACAATGAGATTGGATAGGGCACAATTCATGAATTCAGCAAACATTTATTGAGCGCTTCCTACGTGTCTTTGTGGTCGTCAGAGAGAGCAGGTTTAATGAAGGAAGGGGGAAGTCATTTTACCCTGGCTAATCTGATTCCCCCCCGGGGTCCATTCAGTCTAACAACTGCACAGTGACATCAGTTAAGGGCACACACCACTGTCACATGGCAGAAATAACTAGGGTATATTTGTGTGTTGCCATGGGAAGCCACCTCCCCTCAAGGCACTGGGCTGTGATGCCCTGAGGGTCGTTTGAAAAGGACACCACAGAGGTTAAGAAGAAACTTGTCACAGTGTACAGTTGCCTGTTACTAATTCCTTATTGCACAATTCAAGCAGGGCTGTTTTTAAGGCCTCTGCTCATTCATGAGCAAGCTTGAGTACTGTGGCAGGAAGCTTGAGGCTATGAAAACTGAGTATGGGCACCCAGGGAGAGAGCTGCATGTGATGCCCCCGTGCCACTGCACACCCATCAGGTCTGTGTGCTCAGGAGAAGCTCTGGACTGGAGTGGAGTCTCGTTAGTACTGACCAGGGTTGAGGGCCTATGGAATCATGGTAGGCTGGAGTAAGGACCTGTGGCCTGGGTCACTTGCCCAGGCCAACAGTGCCCTCTCTGGCATGCACACCCAAGTGTAGGTGGACATCACACCCCCTCCCACACACACAAAGGGGAGAAAGCGTCATTCGTTCCTTTACTCAGGCATGCACAGATCTCTCTGGAGACTTCTAAGAGAAGCTCCAAAAGCACTGTTGAATGTAAAAAAACGAGCAGGGCTCACGTCCTCAGGAGCCACGCAGTATGGTCACACTTTAGCCTTTATGAAATCTGTGCCCAGTGAGCTCAGACACATGACATTTTACATGAAATTTTGGATCAGGGTCTCTTCCTAAAGTCCATGAACTCCAAGATAAAGGAGCCCTACATCAGTGAGTACCAGGGTCTACCTTCTGCCTATCAGACACAAAACATTAAGAAAGCTATAACTCTGGCCGGGCATGGTGGCTCACACCTGTAATCCCAGCATTTTGGGAGACCGAGGTGAGGGGATTGCCTGAGCCCACGGGTTCAAGAACAGCCTGGGCAACTTGGCAAGACCTCATCTCTACAATAAGAGTCAAAAAAAGTATCCAGGTGTGGTAATGCACGCCTGTAGTTCCAGCTACTTGGAAGGCTAAGGAAGAAGGATTGCCTGAGCCCAGCAGGTCCATGCTAGGGTGGCCGTGAGCATGCTACTGGACTCCAACCTGGGAGATGGAGTGAGACTCCAACTCAAAAAAAAAAGAAAACTGTAACTCCAGCGACATTCTCTTCACATGATGATACATCAGCTGGCCACCAGGCTGTAAGACGCCTTCCTTGTCCCTCTCCTGAAGAGGAAAATAGGGGATGGGGATTCTTTGTGCAGGGCCAGACTGCTGCCACATTCTATATGAGTGACCTTGACAAGTGCTCAACCTCTCTCTGCCTCAGTGTTTTTATCCATAAAATAGGAACATTGATATGCTTACCTTGTAGGGTTTCTGCGAGGATTACATGACTTAATACAATCTAAAGCACTTAAAATCTTGGCACAAGGTGAGCACTATACAAGTGTTAGCTGCTGTTAATGTTACTATTATTTATTATTATTATTATTATTTCCCTGATAACCATGAGCGGCAAGATCAGCCAGATTAACTGTATCCTCTACAAGCAACTAGACAACAACGGGACATGACAGGGGGAGGGCAAGAGCCCAGAATGGGAGCCAGGAAAGGAGCGTTCCAATTCTTGTTCCCTCTAGTTAGCTCCCTGACTATGAGGAAGTAACATCTCTGTCCTAGGGTTTTTCTCATCTGCAAAACAAAAACTGGGACTCATTTGCATCTAAAGCCCCTTTCAGCTCTGAGCTGTTTGTGGATCACTGATCTTTGCAGTAAGTTAGGATGGCAGAGACCACATCTCAGTCCTCATGCACAGGAGAGAGCCTCTCCTCCTCCCAGAAGAGGGTAAACACCATGACCTTCCTCTCCTTCCACATGCCCTGACCAGAAGACCCAAAACTGAGTAGGCCAGCACTTGGACTCGGGTATATGCTACAGTCAGGTCCTCACCAAAACTTCCCCTGAGAGGAGGATTGTGCATTGCTTTTCTTATTGGTCTCATATTTCTTGCATTTCTGGGACAAATCCCACTTGGTCATGGTATACAATCTTTTTTATATGTTGCTGGATTCCACTTGCTAGTATTTTGTGGGGGATTTTTACATCTATATTCCTATGAGATACTGTCTGGAGCTTTCTTTTCTTGTGAAGTCTTCGCCTGGTAGTGTTATCAGGGGATCTGGTGCTGTGTGAAAGATGCAAAGAATTGCACAGAAGTTATACTGGAAAATATAGTTTATTTAGAAAGTAAATGAGAGAGAGAGAGAGAGGAGATTCACCTCTCCAAGGTAGAGGGGGCCAAAGCTTAGGAAAACATGTCCTGGCCATAGCTCAAAGAACACGTGGTCAAACCATAGCTTTTCAGGGCAATGGCGAATGGAGAGAGAGAGAGAAAGATTCACCTCCCCAAGGTAGAGGTGGGAGTCAGAGCCAAGAAACATGGCAGCCATAGCTTGTACAGCATCATAGAATGAATTCAGAAGTGAGTGCTCTTCAGCTTCTGTCTTTGGAAGGATTTGTGAAGAATTGATGTTAATTCTTTAAAACCTTGGAAGAATTCACCAGTAAAGCCA